AAAAAAAAAAAACAAAACAAAAGTAAAAACGAAATCAACAATTCTGATTAAATATATGTGTTTCAAAAGATATACTCAGGCCACTTCCGGTACAATTTTCGATGGTGAGGTGCCCTTGTCCCGGAAGTTGCGTCAGATGCGAAGCTCTTCGAATTTGTCCCTCGTTTCCTTACGTTCAAACTTCCATTTCCGGAAGTTACGGAAGCACCAACCACGGAAACATCGAAAATTATACAAATATTTATCGGCCGGCTCCGCTTCGACCTGTCCCCAGAGGTGAGAATTAGAAAAAGATAATAAAAGTATGTCAAATTCTGATAAAATATATATATGTTCGAGCATGATTACGAAACTAATAGAGATTTATAGCGTTGGTTAATCGATAATTAACTCGAGAGTTCCTCGTTTGTGATCGTTTTGACCCTTTTAGAGAAAATCGTCTAAAAACCTCGACTCACGAAGGTTGCGTCATTAACAAATGTGACCATATGGACCACTGTCTTGTCTCCCGAATACTCGACGGCAAGTAGGGCAAAATATTTACGCGCCAGTGTATTCTCGTGTTTCCTGTTCGTGTTTAAACGACATCTTAAGTGCCACTATTCGTTTATAGACGATGTAAACAGCGGTTTCGTCGTTACCCCCTTCTTGGTTAGTTAAAAAAGTCTCCTTCGTTCTTCTCTCTTTGAGCCGTTTATACCGTAATAAAAATAATGATAAATGAAAAAAAGTCGTCAAAGATTCTTTTCGCGCGAGAAAATTAAAAGGAAAAGCCAATTAATTCAAATCAAATATATAATTAACGATTAAAGAATTAGCTAGAATTTATCAATAGATGTTGCAATTTCAAACGGTATTATAAAGTTCCAGAAATAAGTATGACCTTACTGTCCAATTCATGCCGAGGACCGTACCAACCGGAGAGAGAACCGCACTGTTTAAACTCGTACACATGTTGTATACTTCTGTAGGGTTGTAAATCAGCCAGAAGTACCCAATCTTGGAGGCCTCTTGTTCGGGATAGGATCTGTTGAAACAGACACCCGTCCAGCTAAGAACTACCGTTTACATCGTGTCACGTCTCCCTCTAATTTGTAATCCTCCACTCGCGTCCAAATTCTCTAACTTGTGTTTCACCGAATGAAATCTATCTCACGCTGTTTACTTACGAATTTCTACAGTGTTTTGATTCTTTATTTTTCTTTCTTTTTTCTTTTTTTTTTTAATTGTTAAACATTTACAGTTCCGATAACGTCTACTACCTCGACACCCACCAATCAATCAGAATCCAATACCAGAAGAAAGAGATCGTGGTCGAGGGCTGTGTTCAGTTCTTTGCAACGAAAAGGATTGGAGAGGAGATTTTCCTTGCAAAAATACATCACGAAACCGGATAGAAGGCAACTTGCCGCCACTCTTGGCCTTACGGATGCACAAGTATAATTTTAAATTACAAAATACAAAAGAAAAAAAAGAGAATTAAGAAAGAAATTGGAACGATGTTGTGTCGTCTACAGGTAAAAGTATGGTTTCAAAACCGTCGAATGAAATGGCGACACACGAAAGAGAGCGAAAGCGCCCCTTTGTCGAATCTTGATTCTCAAAAGGATTCGTCTAGGAAATTAGGAAAGGATAACGCAAAGAGTGAAAAGACTGCTTCGGAGGACGAGGAGGACATCGAGATCGAGGTTGATGTGTGAACATTGAAAATGTACATTGACGATATTTGACCCGGTCTAGTTTTCTAATTTACTGTAACACGATATATTCGTATATGTTAAATAAAATTTATATACGTGAACAACTTCACTCTTCTATCTCCACGGAATCGACACGCGTCTCGATCGCGCATCCCGTCGCCATTTGCAAACGCGATATTTAATTTTTTTTCACCAGTTACCAGGGCAACTAGACTGTTATTTCTTGTACAAAACGCAACGTTGTGGCTAATAAACTCCGATTAAAATGCAACGATTGTTGCCAAGTTTAATGTCGATTTCTCGACAATACTCAGTGATGAAATTATCCAAGTCTCTAGGATCGAACGAGGGACAGAAATGCTTGAACCTTCAAAGTTCCGATATTCTTTGTAAGTATGTTTCGTCCCACTGTTATTAGGTTATTCAACTTTCTTTTCCTCTTCCCCCTCCCCCGAATTTTAGCTGCATCGATGACGGAATCTCAAACAGCTTCCGTCGACGAATCATTACGAACGGACGCGATTCCTCTGTTGGATCATACAGCGACTACCGAGGTGTCACCGACCACGTTCGAGGTATCAACGATGAAGGTCGATACGCAGGTCTTTGACAAAGCGCCATTGCCCTTCGACGAGATCCCTGGACCGGCGATTCTTAAGATCTGGGAGAAATATTGGAAATACGTGCCGCTCCTCGGTACGCAACTGCTTTCCAGTCTGCTAATCAACAGATTCACCCAGGGTACGATCTGTTGAAGTATCGATAGGTAGAAATGCGAAGAGCCCGGTCTTTTTTCTAATAAAAAAAAAAAAAAATATTGATGAAAGAGTTTGGAAAAAGAAAAAAAGGAAAAAAAAAGATAATCTTATAAAGAATGATCGATAGAAAAGTTAAGAAGAAAATTTCATTTGCTCTTCGGATTTCGAATTACGCGATTTTTGATACGTTTTTGATTTGAAACAATCGGAAAAGAAAAAAAAAAAAAAAAA